ATTTTTGACATGTATTTTCAGTTTATGATGGATTTGAATAACATCTATACATAAGCCAGGTTTTGATTCCTAACACTACCAATTCTTAGACCTGTGACTTTTGGTGAATTCTTTACCCCCAGAGTTTCACCTACAAAGTGAAAATCATATTGGTTTCTGCGTCAAGTTCTGAGAGTCAAATGAGATTCATGTAAGCGTTACTTAATATAGTAAGAGTCCAAAAAAGCATTTGGTTCATAAAAGTAGGAAAATGGTTATTATTTCAAATGTTTTAAATTTAAATTTACAATAGTTTTAAATAGAATGGTGTCAACTCTACATTCTCAAGAAGGATGTCCTGAATATTCAGTTTTTTATATATTAAAGGAGTTGTAAAGTTTTATTAAACTGGGGCAGTTTTGTTCTTTTGACCTAAATTTCTATTCAGGTGGCAAACTGTGCTTTTGATCACACATTGGACTTTTCCTGAAAGTCAAGCCTTGTGAGTTCTTTTTTTAGTTAGAGGAAGAATTTAAGTATTTTCAGTCTTTGAAATGGAAAACACCCTCATTGCTCTCCAGGAATGCAGAGTCTGCATAGGGAGATGTGCCAGTGCGGTCCCACTGGATATGTGTTGTTCTGACTAAAAGCCATCTACTATGATTTAACGGCAACCATATGATGGTGTACTGTTGTTAAAAATTACATGACTTCATGTGATAATCAGAAATCCTAGAATTAAAGATAAATCACTGTACATGAAACATAAATAAAACAGTAACTGGGATCATTGCCTGCTCACCAATTCATTTTATGCCTAAAAGCAACATTTCGTTTCAATATGTATTAATTTGATATAGCATTGGAATCAGCAAGCCCTTGAGTATAAAAAATTATCTAATTATCTAGTCTAGTTTTTCACAGTTAAAACCTATCCACATAATTCATAATAGGTATAAAAGTCTCTGGACTTTTTCCTAGTATACTACTTCTGTGTGTTTTGCATTTACTTTTATTTTCTTAATGTCGGGGTGCAGTTCCCTTTACTAGAAATTGCTGATATCAGGAATAAATAATACTTCAAAAATCATCAGTTGTTGCTAGGAATGTAATACTAAAACATTACTAAGCAAGGGCATAATAACAAGAATAAATTGGTTTCTTATATGTTGGTGAGATTGGGATGCATCCACAGAATTAAGATGGTATATTTTTTAGTAGCAGTGTTTGTAGCAGTAATGTTTGTTGTACTATTTAGTAGTAGTGATTGTTTTAGCAAGTAGTAGCAGTATTTGTTATAGTATTTAGTAATAGTATTTGTTATCTTAACCTTGTTAGCTTTTTTGTTGCTGTTTTCTTTTTATTGAGAAACAAAGATTTTTTTCTTTTTTAAAAGATTTTTACCTATGTAAAATTTATTTTTTCTTACGTTCTAACATGGAATTCACATTTCGAGTCCATTGTACTAAAATTATCCTTTTTCTTAGCTTTATAATTATTACTATAAGCCTGTTTTACTACTTTGTAAATGTTAAACAGTCCCTATTGGAGTTTGTTTTGGGATGGAAGGGATTTCCTTCATCTCAATCACATTGTCAGCCCATAATTATAGAAAACATAATGGTGTGTTCGTCACGGACAGCTGGTGCACATACGTGACCTTCCTCAGCCCTTTCAGCCCTGTCCCCGCTTTCCCCTCCTTGCATCTCTTGGACCTTCTTGCTGTGTTTTGGGTACAAGTTTGTGCTACATGGTGACCGCATTCCTCTCACGGCTGTGCTGCGTGGACACAGCGCTTCACAACCTCGTCCTTTTCACAGTCTCGATCCCTCCTCCTTTGTCTCCCTTTCTTCCGTTTCCACCCCGTGTACTAAACAAATCCGTCTACTTCCCACAGTCTTTTGTTGGCACTTTATTTATGTATTGGGCTTCTCATAGAGGAGAAGCCATGTGGTATTGAGGCTCGTGTGTCTGATTTACTTCGCTTAACATTATGGACTCAAGGTGCACCCATTTTCTGACAGATGATTCAAGTTTATGCTTATGGTGGAGTAGTGCTCCATTCTAAGTACCATATTTTTGTTATCTGTTCATCTGTTGATAGACATTTAAGCTGTTTCCAAGATTTAGCTATTATAAATCATATTGCTATGAACTTGAAAACATACTGGTTATTTTCTTTTTCCTTCCTTTCTGACTATCATGGTTTTAGTAAGATTGCAAAGATTAGTACTTGTTAACTACATTAGCAAAAGGTAAAACAAAAGTAAAAATTCACCTCTGCATCTGTCAGCTGAACAAATCGCTATGTAATTCATATCTGTATTTATAGTAAGAAAAGAGCATACATTGGTGTTTCCTGAGACCCTGTGACATATCACCCCTTTGTAAATGCTAATTTCTTTATGAAAGGAAAGCTTGATGTTTAGGTTTTAGAGCTTTTCCTACATCTTTTCATTTTCCGTGGCTTTAGGTCAGAATAGTGATCGTCCTTGAGGGCTGTGTTCTGCCCTGATGTAGTCTGGTGCTCTTCCTTGCCTTGTTATGATACAGAGGAAAATCCTTGCCTCCCTGCTAAATTCGCTGAGCTGAGAAGCTGACTGAATCGTGCTGAGAACTTTAGCACATGCTTCTTAACTACTTGGTATTTGTTGTCTTTAGAGTATAGTGATGTTAGTTCACATGCTCGGCTCACCAAAGTAGTACTTACATCTGTTCAGTAGTTGGCCAAAAGCTCTTGAGGACATGCCCAAGGGCCTTACATGAAAACAGAGCTCAGAGGAGCCCACTAGAGCTGGGTGAAGGGCAGAATCTTTGTCCTGCTAGTGGATTCAGAAAGTTGCACATGGCCTTAGTTCAGAGACCTGCAAGCTGCTCATGTGCAGTTCACAGAAAAAGAGCCCCCGTCTGTGCTCCTGCCCACTGAGCCATCCCTTCAGGGTTTGTCCTCAGTAGCTGCATCTCTGATGGGGCAGGAGCAGCCCTGAGAGCCGAAGCCCTGGGGAGAAGCTCCAGGCTTTGTGCGGGTCTCCTCCTTGGGTCCTAACGTTCCACCACACTGGCCCAGCTTTGAGCCCCTTTGTGAATTCCAGAAGGAGAAAGACAGGAGGTTGGCCGGGAGCTCCTGGAGCTCCTGAGAAGGGTGAAGAGCTCTGGTCAGGATTTGCATTTGTGGCCTGGAGGCCAGTAGTGGGAGGGCAGGTCTGGCTGGAGCTTTTGGGTACCTGTACTGGACACTGTACTCACTGTCATGGGAACTTTTTATAAAAGTCATATTTGCTCACAAATTTAATTTTAGTTGAATATGCAAATATTTATGTATTTAGTAAATAATAGGTATAAAATAGTAAAGGATAAATAACAAGGAAACATTATCCATGGTGATACATCCTTGTCTTATTTTTGACTCTTCCTAAAAATGATGACCATTTCACTAAACTTGGTAGGTAACAGATTATCATTAGATGATTTTCAAGAAAAACTATTTTAGTAGTTGGTCTCCAAACAATAATTGACTCTGGAAGGGACTTTAATTCATTTTGTAACTTCTGGTCATTCTGTTTAAAATGCCTGAAAAATATCATGTTAGATGTGGCCTTTAGTTATGAATTACTTTAATTTTTAGATTTCTTATTCTCCAGTCACTTGATCATTGGAAGCATTCTGAAAACATTGGACTTTCTGAAAGATTAAAAATTTTCACATGCCTGTAATGGAAAGGTTTGCGGTTTTAATGTTCAGGTGTCTGTTGTAGTTAGTGTCAGTGCTAGATCAGCCTGGAGTTTATAACCCAGATTCTGAAAAGAAAACTGTAGCAACAACGGGTTGCTAAGCAAGTCTCTTAGCTAATTAAACAATGTGGATAGAATTATTCTGGCCACCTATGCTGCTCTGTCATAGTGACCAATTAAAAATGACTCTCACATTTAAGTTTGTCAAAATTTACATTAGAAATAAGTGATATTCCACTTTCAATAATTTTAAAAAGAACTAAGATAAAATTATACCAAAAATGATTGAAACAACCTAGTATTCAATGACAGTGGAATTATAACAAAGTTATGATATATTACATGAACTATTGTACAATCACACCAATTAAAAATTTGTATACAATGTAGCAAATGCTCCTTTTTATTCAGATTACCACCTACAGCTCCTTTTAATACAAGTCAGCAGAAATAGGCGCAATTTAGCGTATTTTTTTCGTAAGCATTTCACACTGTTATCATTTTTGAAAATAAAAAACTCAGAAGGGACCTTGTTTAACTTACCCAGATTGTAATTAACTTTATTACTTGGAAGTGTTAGCATATAAGAGCCACACCCTCTGGTGAGAGTGGTCAGGTGTAGTCGTGGGTCAGGTCCCAGACTGCCCAGATTTCTTCTTTTTGTTTAGTTATAAGGCAGGCGTTGGGAGCAGGGTGAAATGAGTGAGTTATGATCAGCCAAGGAGCAGTTTCAAACGTGAGGAGACGTCCTGCTGTATACTTCAGTTATGCTAATCCTGAACTCTGAAAGAATCCAGTTTCTATGTCCTGCTAATTGTCATCTATGTTTTTTTCATCTAGTTTTCAGAAATCTGTTTTAAATAAAAAATCATCTTTCTGTAGACAATTAGCCAAGAGGTACTTGATTGTAACTTGATTTTACTAATAATGTTTGGAAAGAAAATAAAATCTCTATTGTGATTTAGATCATTATAGTTTCATCATATTTTTATTTTTCCCTTTGGCCATCACATGTTTTATTTTTTGTTTTAATTTAATTAGCTATTGTTGACTCTTAAATACACTTTACTTCTGAGTCCTGATTCTCCAACAATATGGAAAAACTGGAATTTTAAAGATACTTAGAATCACTGCATATTAAAACAGCATAGTATTAGAACGTTTCATGTCAACAACAAATGCTCCATTATGCCTCTTCTAAAACTTCAGCATCATAAAGACCCGAATTTGTGTATTTTTCTTCTTGTGTTTTGCTGAATATGTTCCTTTGTCTTATCTTTCTTTAATCAGCTGGCATGTTTGCTGATCCCTCTGTAAACTTCTGAGACCCAGTGCCTGAAGACCCCAGCTGGAGAATGCCATCTGAACGTTGCCTCAGGTATGCTCAGGGGGATGATTTCTTTGCTTGGCATGTTTCAGTGAGCCTTGAGCTAGTACCCTGCACACTTCAGGATCAAGTGTAGAGTAGAGGAAGAATGCATATTTGAAGGAATAAATAAACAAATTAGAGCTTTTGTGATTTTGTTGTGGCGACACAAAGAATAACTGCTAAAATATAGTTCTTGGTCAAATCTAGAGAAGTTTCATGATACAACTTTTTTTATGCTTATTTGAGATGCTTATCTGTCTTTAACAAAAGATATATACATATATACATATATATGGTATAGGATTAAAAGAGGAATCAGAAAACTACACATATAGAAATATTGCTTCCTTTAAAGAAATGATGTGGACAGTAAGTGCTTATTCTCAGAATTTCGGTAGCATTTTCTTTCAGTGGTTCACTCATTTAATAAATACTTATTGAGCCAAGTACTCCACTTGATGCAAAAAGATCCAGCTTTTAATAAACAGCTCAAGCTCTCCCTTCGTAGAGTAGGTATTCTTTAGGAGAAATAGACAAAACAATCCACTCCTGCCCTACTGCCATCTGTCCTCCTCAGCATAATCATCTCGGGGATGACCTTCCCTGCCCGCCTTAACCCAGGCCCGCCCTTCCCCACCCCCAGATCTTCTCCATCCCACTTGGAACTCTCGCAACATGACTGTGCTCTTCTGTGTCATCTTTCTCAGTCCAGCGTCACTGGGCCCCATCTTCCCCTGAGGACCGCTTCTCCTGTAGCTCTCTCATGTGGTATCTGTGGATTTCAGGGACAAGCATCTCTACCTATGCCTGTTGGGTTGTCATCCTCCTGGGACATAACATTTTTCATAGGTCATTGCTTCTTAGGTTATTTGAGAAAGCTGCAGCAAGACATGCTCTTCCAAAGGTAGATGTCTAGCCCAGATGTCCTGCATGAATGGACTTTATTCTCTGCCGCTCAGTATTTCCTGGGCCAGGCAGCCTCTCCTTGTCCTCGGGCCTCTGGCCATTAACCTTCTGCAGCCACTGTGTCAGGGTCGTGCCCCGTTCTGCCCCAGGGCCGGAGTGTTCACTGTGCTCCTGCGTGAGAAGCTCCTCTCCTCTTTACCAGGGTAACTTGCACTGTCCGTTAGCTGTATCCCAAGTGTAACTTCTGTAGGGAGGCCGGATTACTTGACTATTGTGTAGCTATTCTGCTAAACTGAGTGTTCCATAAGGGCCAAGAGCACATCTGCTTTACACAGTTTTTTCCCAGTACTGTCCTAGCATAATAAGACTGATAATTATTTGTTGGGTGAATAAATGAGAGAAAGAAGGCTATAAAATTATTCATTTGTAATTATGTTATTTTCTGCATAGTCATTATTTCTGAATGATCCTTTTTGCTTATTATTATTGCCATTACTATTGTTAGCATTCTATTTGAAGACTTTATAAAATGTAAAGTGTTGTATAAAATAGAATTAAGTCCCATTATAGGATCTTTTAACAGCCTTTCCACTTAAATACAATTTTAAAGATATATTTACATGAATTTAATTTGCATAATATATTTGACTATGTTATTGAGATGATTGGGGCACTTGGTAATCAATAGGCTGAATTAAGATAATCAGACATGATTATATTACCATTTAGAATTTTTGCCCATTCTTTTTCTTTCTTGTATAATCTGTTTAAGAAATGAGGCTCAATAACTGAGGCTTTTTGTGCTACTTGATATGGAGGAATGTAATACTTTATTGGTATCCTTACTTAGAAGTACTTGTATATTTTTTAAGTATTAGGTAAATACACAAATTCATTTAAGTTTTAAAATTTGAAATGTAGGTATTTAGCACCATATTGTCATTTTGGAATTTACATCCTAAAAACTGAACTCAGTCAAATTTGATTCTGTAAATTGAGACCTTATGGGATTTCTATGGTCAAAAATGTTAACTCTGTGAACTTAAAGTAGCAATTTGCAGGGAAGCAGCGGCCCCCTCTCAGTATGGGGGGTACAATGCCATGAGCATCATGTTCTGCATCTGATTTATTAGTTTGTTCCGTCAGCTCCAGAATGAAAGTTAGAGGCTCAAAGTCATGAATACTCCTATTCCCCAAGACCTTGCTTATTAATCTCCCCATTGCTGGACACTGACATGCAGCTTATCAAGTGGTTACTCCCTGGCATTCCTAAAAAGCAATCTGCTGCTTGGGGACTCTGGGGCTTCCCATGGATGGACCAGGGTTTAGGCTTGGCCCCGTGAGGGTCAGAAATAGCAGCAGTCCATGATTGGGGTCACCTGAAGCCCTCCCATACAGGGTTCGAATGAAAAGAAATAAAAAGATATATATTTGCCTGGGAAGTTGTAGACTTTCCAGTAGAAGCAGAATTGGAAGCATCCGTAATTTAAAGCAGCCATATTAAAAAAAAGAAAAATTAATTTTAACAGTGTGTTTTATATAACCTAAAGCCCCCCAGATAGCTTGTTTAAACCTGTAATCAATATAAAAATGCTAATGCAGTATTTTGCATTCTCTTTTCCCTAGAGTCTTTGCTGCCAGTGTGCGTTTTACCCCCATGGCACATCTCAGTTTGGAGTGCTCGGTGTTTGATGTGCTTACAGGCCACACATCATTACAGCTTCTGTATTGGCCAGTGTAACTTTGGACACCCTCATTTAAAAAGGTTGCTCTGGGGAAGGCAACATGCCTTCTGCATTGCCTGTGAATTTTGAGATGACAACATTTTTTCATACTTATATTTTCCAAATAATTTAGGAAGTTTTAAAGTAGTTTTTTTTTTGTTTCCCAAGTAGTGATGGGAATTCTTCTAAATTGGGAGATATTACTTGCTAATTTGATGTATGTTACAGATGCCACAGGAGCTGATCACTAGTATGTATCTCCCTTTTCTTTAGCTAACCTAGCTACCCTGAGATCTCTGATTCTTTTCTTCCTGGTTGATGGTTATTGCTCAGTAGAGTGGGTGCGTAACCTCCCAGCTGTGGGCCATGGCCCGTGTGCCTTCACTTTCAGAGGGCTGAAGTCTTCGGCAGATTTATATCTGAGTGTTCAATGAGAAGTTGCTTTTAATTTTAGAATACAATAATGACTCACTGATTAATAGGCCTCTATTTCTTGCCAAATCTTGGAGTGTGTGTTTTTGTTTTTAAGGAATACCAACACATTGGTTTCAAAATATTTAGGATTTTGTGCCAAGTGCTGTGGTAAATATTTAGCATGCTATTTTCTTTAAGCTTGAATATTTCAAGCCAAACTGAAAGACATTGTGAAATTGTGTAGCATCACTATTATAAAACTGAGCCCTTTATTCTTTGCCAAATTTCAGTTTACAGCTGCTCTTTCCCAGGAAAGGTTTATCACTCTCCAGAGACAGCTGAAATGCAGATCCCAAGGCTTGATGATAAGGGTGTGAATTGTGGCCCTGTATCTGGAACATGAGTCAGGAGACACTTTAAGGCAATTATCTCAATATGCTCTTTTGTTCCATTACAAATGAAATTTCAAAATGCACTTATTTACCGTTTAAGGTTATAAAAAAGGAGAAAAATTATGAAAGTGTGAAGTATATTTTCTAAAGTTATGCTAATAAAATTTATAGTATTCTGAAACTTTTGTCACAGTATAACATAAATATTTTTGAACAATTTCTTACTGTACTCATTTATCATGTTCATGTATATTATTGTATAAGGCTGACTTCAACATTAATGATACATGATGTAAGCATAAAATCAATAGAGTCATCTGATATTTTTGTCCCTTAAGCATAAATTTTGGAGATCTTCCTTATAGATTATCTTTTTTTAAAGTAGAAAGAGGAATTATATTATTGTATTTCTGATATGTTTTCAAAATGTCTGATCTGAGACTTTCAGTTTTCTTATCTGTAAAATAGATAATAAAAGCACCTGCCTCTAGGGATTATTAAGAAGATTAAATGAGTTAATAATTGAACATGGTAAGCAGTATGAGTTTGTTAAATATATAAAATCTCTCTCCCTTTTAGGAAAGATTTTTCAAAGATTATTCTAAAGCTATACTTAGATGATATAGTATTTCTTTTATTATTATTCCATTTCTTTGAGTAATACTAATTAATCTCTTCGAGGCTTTACTAGCCTGAATGTATCTGAATGTGATATTCAATTACTTGTTTTAAAAACTTTTGATAGCTATAGCCACCAGGTGAATATTACTGACAATAACCATTTCAAAGTCAATGTCACATTCCACCTGAAAATAATTCACCTTCCTATGACAGCCTCCTGTATCATCATCTCCTGCCAAATTGTTTTCTTTCTATAGTTCTGACATTCAAAAATGTCCAATAAAGCTTACTGACTGAACTCTAACATTTCTTGGGAAGCATTTGGTTAATTTTAAAATGATGATTTGTGCTTAACTCTAGTTCACTATTCGACAGCGCACTGGCCAGGCACAGCCTGTCAAACCCACCAGGCTAACAAGGGTCACCATGATGCTGGTGCCTTTGAGGAACTTCCTCATGCTCAGAGAAGGGACGCAGGATGCAGGAATGACCAGTGTGTGGGAAGGGTGGGGATTAGCTTTGAGAAAATCAGCGTTGAGAACATCAGCTGTCTAGAAGCAGGCTTTGAGAGCCCCCCTCCCCCTTTTTCTCTTTTCTTCTCACAGTAACTTCTCACCAGCATACCTTCTCATCTCAGCGCAGGACATATTCTGAGATTTAAAGTGGGGTGAGAAGTGTGTCGATCTGAACTGGAATTGTCCATTACTCTTTGCGTTTTAGGAAATTGTAAATTTTCACCCAGGAGTTTTGAAAGGACATAAAGGTGGTACATTAGTAGAGGGGTGTCATGAGGGACAAGTTTAGCAGTCCCACAAAATAAAGCAAGTGTTTTATAATGACCACGTGTAGACATCGAAGACTGATAATATACTTTCAACTCTAAGTTTTTAACTTGCAAAGGTATTTATTTTGATGTTCTCCTTGTGGTACATAGTGTTGCTTATAGTTCTTTCCCCCTTAACCAATATTTGCTCAATTTTCTTATATTCATTGATGGAATATCTTGTCCTGAGGGAAGATCTGGTAAGAAACAAAGCTGGAGAAAGCATAGGAGCTCAGAGAGGGACAAAGTGGTAAGACTCCTCTCCCTCTCTCTCTCTGTCTCTCCTCCTCTCTCTCCTTCTCTCCCCCTCTCTCTCTCTCTTGCTCTCTCTCTCTCTGTCTCTCTTTCTCTCTCTGTCTCTGTCTCTCTTCTGTCTCTCTGTCTCTGTCTCTCTGTCTCTCTCTCTCTCTGTGTCTCTCTCTCTCTCTCTCTCTCTCTCTCTCTGTCTGTCTGTCTCTCTGTCTCTCTGTCTCTCTGTCTCTCTCTCTGTCTCCCCCCCCACACACACCCTGCAGGTGTTACACCCGAGGCTGTACCCGCATGGCAGCCAGGAGTCTAGCAGCACTCTCACAGGTCTGCAAATAGGACCAATGTGAAGACACAGATAGGTGCACACACACAAACTCAGAAAGAGGGACACTAGTGAGAGAGAGAAAGAGACCTAGTGAGAGCAAGGAAACGAATCAGAAAAAATAGAACCAAAAACTAGCAGAGGAAAAACAACATGGAAACTTGAAGGTTAAACTCAGTGTGCAGGAAGCCGAGTTCCCTCAGTTGATGTGAAAAGGCTGAGAAGGCCTCCAGGAAGCAGGGCTGGTGAAGGAAGAAAGTCCACCAAGCCTGGGCAGCTTGGTATCTTAGCAAGACCCTGCCTCAAGAGTAAAAGAGAGAGAGAGAAAGACAGAGACAAGGGATGTAACTCAGAGCGAAGGCCCTGGTTCAGTCCCCAGTTTAGTCAGTCAATCAATCAATTACATTTAAGTTGACTCAATCAATTGCTCTCCTTCATAGTATTCAAGAAATGCTGACAGGGCAGAGGCTCTGCCACTCCGAATCTCACAATGACAGTGTCCTGGCAGCGCTGAATCAGCAGAGGAGTGACGGCATCCTCTGTGATGTCACCCTGATTGCTGAGGAACAGAAATTCCATGCTCACAAGGCAGTCCTAGCAGCGTGCAGCGACTATTTCCGGGTAAGTTGAGGCATCTTGTTTGTTTGTTTCTTTAGGATATCAATAAGCAGAGAGTCATGGTGTTTCCTGGACTGTGATTCGGTCCTGTGCCAATTAAGTAGTCATTGCCGGAACCGACTGAATCATTTCCAGGAGTCATTTCTGGAATCTGAATGCTGGGGTGTGGGTCTTTCCTGAGCAAAATTAGACCTGGTGATCTTTCTGATATAAATGCTCCATTAAACAATTGATGACAATAAAATTATTCCTGAATATGTGTTGTATTTCTGATTTTTTATTTTCTTAATGCTTTCAAATTTTTTGCTCCTAGTACAGAGATGCAGCTGACCCCAAAGTTTTTGACATATAAGGTTGAAAACAGCATGTTGTCTTCTTTAGTGGAGCTTGATTTCCAGCAGCTAATTATATGTGGCGATATGATTGCCATTATTTTGAAAATGAAAGTGTACAGTATGTTTATGGCTGATTACGTGAAATGTATTTAGCATTTCCTGAGATTCTGGTGGACAAAGGACGTTATGGGACGATCTCATTTAATCTTCAGTTTACAAGCATATACATACCATTAAAATCACTGATTTCCATGTAACGAAACAGTCTCAGAGGTCAAGTAATTTGCTATGATTCAGAAGTTAAATAACTAGTCACAGGGTTCCTAAATGGCAGATCTGGAACTAATATCTGTGTCTAACTCAAAATACTGGTCTTCTCAGCTTCCTGATGTAAAAGACAATGATTAGCCAGAAATTCTTTGAAAGTAATTTCTGATTATACATTGAAAAATTCATACTTAATTTTTCAATATTACTGCAGCTAATGCTTATATATATATATATATATATATATATAAAACAGTAATGTAGGTAATATTTATATATATAACAGTATGCATCTCTATATGGACAGGAAAATAACTGTGATATTTAAAAAATTTTCTCACCCAGCTGTGTAAAGTATACAGAAACCAATGAAGGCCATGGACAATCCATTCTGAGTGTTTACAGTAACTTCCTTTTTCTTGTTTTGATTTTGTGTACATTATGTTATACCCGTTTTGTCTTCTTGTAGATCACAATTTAGCTTTCTTCATGGTTAATTTAAGTTTTTACCTTTTAGGCTTTGAATTTAATTTTTGGAAATGGCTCGGTTTTATGCATGTGTGTGTAACAGCATGAGCAAATACATTTACTTGTTGGCACTTCTCAGTGACACGTGCTGCCCGCAGTTTGTCACCTCCTCCACCACAGCGCTCCTCATCTCTGGTAGAGTACGCCCAGAGAGGGCCTCCTTTGTAACCTTACATTGGGAGCTAGGGATGTAACTCAGCGGTAGAGTCTTTGCCCACGTTTGATGCCCTGGCTTTCTGACTGACTAAATGCTAGCAGCATTAGTGCCAACCATAATATACAGGTATTTTCTAAACTGCAGATTGTGTTCCATTGGCCAAGCAAATCAGAAGGGTATTCTAGAATCAGGCTAAGAAGATCTGAGAAAGAGAAGGGGTAAAGGAAGTAGGAGAATTTGTTGCCATTTTTGCAACTGAAAGCAGTCAAAAACTATCAAGGATATGATATTTTATCCTACCACAGTTTTAGATGTTGGTAGGAAACACAGGGCTAAGTCAGAAACCAAGGATAGCTTATTATTTACAGAGACAACAGTATCTGATTATTCTGTTTTCTGAGCCCAGATTCTCACTGGATGACACAAAGAGAAGTTGTATTACTGCACAAAAAGTGTAATCTTTTATAATGAGCAGTAAACACATCTGCCCTTTGCTCTGGAGGGACACATTCTTATGTTGGACAGTAAGCATTCTTTCTCTTTACACTACCAAGAGACACATTGTATATCTTCCAGGATTGTAAGCAAAGCTACCCTTTGCTCCAAGGCTGTTTGCTATAGAGACATTCTGAAAGAGAGAATTCAAGGCAAAGGACGGTCATTGTTTCATTCTCAGTATGTGCAGAAATGCAAGAGACCCAAGGAGAATTGGCTCCCAGCAGCCAATGCCCTGAACTAGAACTACATTGTCTTTGTCTTGTCTTCTACCACTGAAACTCATGGAAACAGTGTCCTGTCTCAGTGATTTTTGTATCTCTCCCAATTACGTTATCTTGTGCTTTGTAAGTGCTTAATAACTATTAAGTGCAAAAGGTTTTCCAGTTGTCATAGAATTCTAAGTATATTTTAATTCTTAGTAATCTGAATGTTAAAGATAAGCAAATTATTCATGGGTTTTACCTTCTAATGTAATCCTTTCAAGTTAACTAAGAAGTGCAACATAAACTAGAGTTTTATAGATATAATTTCATCTGGATAATTTTGGAGCTAAAGTCCTTGTTGTGATTCAGGAGAGGTGGGACCAGAAGAATGAGAAACCTCCAACTTTGATGTAAGCTGTTTCTTTTTGTTGGCCTAAGAGTTAACATTTGCTTTCCTTGCTTAAAATATGAATAATGAACAAGCAGTTGGCTGATGTGATTTCTCTTGATCATCATCATTTTAAAAAAGAAACTATAAAACCACATCTTTGACTCAAAAAATGATTTTTTAAAAAATAAACATTGAGGCTTAATTTCATGATACTGAAACAGCGCAGCTTTAGTCAGATGCTGTAACTGGGGTGGAGCAGGGCTTCTTTCATAAGAAGGTGCAGCAATGGCCGAGTGTGAATCCTGCGGTACGGAGTGTGTGTGTTCACCACTGTTTCTCACAGTGCCTGGACAACAGTAGGTTTCCCTTCAGTGTTTGCTGAGGTGTTAATTCTCTCCACCATCTGTGCTGTCAACATAAGAGGTCAGTTTTTCCTGGTCTTAGTTACTTTCTAGTTGGTGGGCCAAACCACCTGACACCTGTAAGCTGAAGGAGAAGAGGTTTATTTTGGCTCCCAGTTTGTAAGCATTTCAGTCCATAGTCAGCTCATTCCGAGGCAGGGTGGCCTAGCAGCAGGGCATGGCGGAGGAGAACCAGTCCGTGGCATGGCAGGAAGGGAGCAGAGCAGGTCAGGGGAAGAGGAAATACACACACACACACACACACACACACACACACACACACACACACACACACACAGACACACACATACCCTTCGTTCCAGGCTGTGCTCACAGGCTTCACTTCCCAAAATTGCCCCTAGCTATAAATGCCTCACTGGACCAATCCAGTATCACACCCACGATCCTGTGACCTCCTAAAAGCCTCACCAACGAGGATGTGTATTGATTGTCATCAGTGTTTAGAATATGAAATAAGGTGACTAATACACTAGGCATAGTACCTGACACACACTAGACCTTCAATAAACATTAGTCTTTACTCCTAACTTACGATTTGGCCATGTGCTGCATGGGTGTTGGGGAAGAAAGCTGTGTCCATCTGCTAGGTCACCTGGTTGCTGATCACTTTTCATGGGTTAGAACACCTTTTGGGCTTATGCTTTTACATCATTTAATTTTCAGAATCTGACGCTGTCTCATACTCAGAGCTTTTTAGTAGCTATCTACTTTTTTCTCTTGCCCTGGCTGTTTTTTCTCCTGTCAGGGAGGATTGTGTGGTTGACTTGTACTCTCTGCTCATGTAAATGCCTACATATTCTGGGCAAAGAGGCAAATGTCTTGACCATTCAACCTACTTTCATATATGTGTTGGTGAAGTGATTCACATCACCACGTGGCTGCTGGATTCCTGGGGGGGCCTTCACTTCACCCCATCATCGCTCGCTCACCCCTGGGCTCCTCTGTGTGTGTGTTCACAGTTGCTGCAGCTCCTGCTCCATCCAGGTGCATGCTGTTCCCCTCAGGGACTTCCCATGTTTTGACTGTGCACCTGTCACGACCTCCGTGCCACCTGGTCTAACGTCTCTATCACCCAAGGTTTGTCACAGCCGAAGACGAGAGTGATGAACCTCATGGAGCCTGGTCTTTGCCACCCCCTGTCAAGTCTCTAAATGCGTATCCAAGGTGTCTCTTTCCTGAACTCTGAACATTTCAGCCTGCCTGCTCGAGGAATTAAAGATCACATGACGCCTGTTAGGCTTCCCTCATCGAAACATCCTAGGATGGGACTATCCTGAAGAGCTAGCGAGGTCTTTACAGTCTGATTAAACACAGTCCAGTTGGGAATTATTGAATCAGAGGCAGCGAGAGAAGCTAGGAGCCCACATTCTGGATTTGTGTGAGAGAGAGGAGAACATATTTACTTTTTATCCTCTAGGCTTGGAAGCCCTCAGACTCAGGGAACACCTAACTCAGGGCCCCACGGTGGGCGACCCGCGCCTGTGGGCCACTCTTTAGTTCTGTAGGCTGCTGTTGAACATTTGCTATCTCCATCTTAAATCTCCACAAACACCTACAATTTCTGGCCCTGAAGCAGATGTCTTGACTGTCTAACATAGTTTCATGTATGTGTTGGTAAAGTGATTCAAATATGACATTTTGGAAAGCTAAATATTTTAGCATCTTTTTTGTTAGAGTCCAAGTGTAATTTTTAGAGCGAAAACAAGGACAGAAAGCCTATGATATAAAAAAGCTATATTCCATGCATTTTTATAATTATATCCTGAAGTAATTATTTGGTTAAAGTGGCATAAAAGGCTATTAATGAGTGTATAATTATAAATTTATTTTCAATTCAGCAAGAATTTCTTCCTGATGTTTTCTTCTTCTGACGTTTTCTAGACCCTGAATGAATTCAAAGTCTGGTAGGAGATTGAGACAAGTGAAAAAGTAACCCAGCATCGTGTGCTCACACTGTGTGTTTGGGGTGGAGAGTGGCTGAAGACTTGTTTTAATCTCTTGTTCGCTCTTTGTCATTGTCAGTCACTAACAGTAACAGTAATAATGACTGTTAATTGAGCACTTCTTATGCTGCAGACACACTTGTTGGTTTATATTGACCAGCTCACAACGTCCCCTAAAGAGAACTATAAGATGAGTATTGACATTATCATGATCACTTTAAAAGTAAGGGAGAAGGTTTGACCTTAAGCAGTTCATCCT